GACATAAGCAATATTTTGAAAGATATTTATAACAAACATTAACATAATTATCATTGTGTTCAACTTGTATCCCCCCCCCCCATTTAAAAGCATTTAAAATAGTTTAAAAGAATTACGAGGTATGAACTCACCTTATGTGGGTGATTCAAACGAATATGCGCGTAAGGATGAGAAGTTCCACGAATGAAGTCCTGAGACTTTACGAGTCCTAAATAACATATAATGGCATATATTGACATAAATATAGTGTTTAGAAGCAACCAAATCCAAGGAAACACCTCACAGGACTAGGAAACACTTTGACCAAGTGTTGGAATCACATGTGATTCAACTAAGGGGAGTGTACGGCCAATATGAAGAGTGTGCGGCCATGGGTGTGTGGCCAGGGAGTGTGCGCCTGAACACTCATGGTAATGAGTGCACAACAACATTTTCGAAGGGTAGGAAGGCTTGTGGGACGATTGCTCAACAAGTGGTGAAGTTGGAAATGCATTTTGAAGGCCCTTTAAGGGTATTTTGAGGAGTGTACGGCCACACATGGGTGTGCGGCCGCACACACCATATGATCATGAGTTATGGGCATTTTTAAGGTGTTAATCTAGTGTTCTTAACAAGATCTAATCATAGGAAAGAGTACTTATGATCTAGAGGCTCAAGAAGGCTCAAAATCACCAAGAACAAGTGTGTGTTCTTTTGTGTTCTATGTGAGATTCGAAGATCTAGCCAAAATATGATTTCCAATGGATGAAATCAGAGGGTGTTACTAGGTTAAAAGGATTAACAACAAAGCAAGGGAAGAACACTTACAATCTTGAAGATCTAAGATGAAAATTGGATGGTAGCTAAGAGAGAAGTCGAGTTTTTGGCTTGGGAGGGTGAAAAGAGGTAAAGGAAAACTAAGACCCACTTATATACTCGAGAGTTTGCTGCCAGGAGAGGGGTGTGCAAGGCAACATGGTTGTACGGCTGTACACTCATGTATACGGCCGTATACTCCCTCAAATGGAGTGTAGGGCTTGATTTTGGTGCTAGAAGCGTACGCGACCCATTCCTATACTCAATGCTTGAATATACTGAGCTTTGAACCTTTGAACGGACTCTATACAAGGCTAAATGATAGTAGAAATGAGTCTGACACTCAGTTGAGTTGACTGGCTAGGCTTTACAAGGAAAAAAATTGGTTACTTATGGTAACACATTTCATGGAGGATAACTGGTAGCGGGACAGTGTGTTGTGAGAGGACTAGTATGCGGTAATGAGTTGTATGATTGATGTTTGTCTGTATTATGTGCCTACTTGATCCTTGATTGTTTATATGTCGATATATGGTGGTAGTGGGTTGAGGCGGTCCTGTTTTGTGTTGTAGGTCAAGATGTCTGGTGCAGGCCGTTTGTAAGCTGTAGGCACGGGAAGAGCGGTTGGGTTGAGGCGGTAGGCCAACAAACCCTAGGTATTCCAGCCCAATGGTTGAGTGGGCCCGTTTGCATGTTGGCAGTCCAGTTTGAGGATTGAGCGGTTGAGAACTCACTAAACTTTATGTTTACCCAGTTGTTTATATTTTTAAGGTGTGTCGGTGATCATGAGAAGGCGAAGACGGGACTGTACACACTCATCAACAACATTGAGGATTCCGCGTTTCTTATATTACTCTGATTTTTAATAAATGTATATTTTGGAATAATTTGTTTTATTAATAATAGATTTACAATTGAGAGATTTTACTCTAATAAAAATGATTTTATTTTTTTTGTGAAAATAGGACATTAGAAAAATGACAAAAAAAAAAAAAAGGGGGGGGGGGGGGGGGGGGAGGGGGTGAGGGTTAAAAAAATAACCAATAAAATGTTTCAGAAAATGACCATGCTTTCTATAGAGAGGGTCTATACGTAACTCGTTAGCCTCTGAGGAAGAGGAAGATCTCTGAGGAAATGATGTTGCATGGGTAAATTTGTAAAAACTGAAATTTCCGTAGAGGGTCGTATCATTTCCGTAGAAGATTGTACAATTTCTGCAGAGACCTCCTCTGAGGAAATGTTTGAGGTAATTTAATGCTTTCTGCTACCAGTTCCACATAATACTCACCATTTCTGGAGAGACCTCTGCAGAACCATTTCTCAGACATGATTTTTTGTTTTTTTCCCCAGATGCTTAATTCTTCAGAGCTTAACGACTTCCACAGAGACCATTTCCGCGAAAATCTTGATTTTTTGCCTCCCTCCCCCCCCCCCCCCCCCCTTTTTTTTTTTTGTTTTTTTTTTGTTTTTTATTTGTTTGTCATTTCCCCAAATTTCTCATTATCAAATTGTAAACACGTGAAACAATGTTAGGTTAAACCCAATTATAAAATATAAATTTGTAAAATCATAACAATTGTTTTTAAAACGCATATTCAAAGTTTCAAACACCCTTTGAAATTTTTTTTAGTATATTACTGACTTATAAATAATACTCAAATTAAAATCTCAAAAGTGAAAAAGGATATGATTCCAATATGCCAATTGCCAAATTAGAAAAAAGTGAAGTAGTGTGGTTTCCATTATAGATTCTCATTCTTTAGCCATTATATATTGTTCTCATCAATCCCAACTTAGAGATACCGATTTCATCATAAGTCTTCACTCTTAAACTAAATCTTTTTAGACCAGAAGTCACATGGCAATCATGCGGTGCGTACAATTGGACCCAAACAGATCAATGACATTTGATGAATTCAAAGCATGGTTACGTAGATACGATGACAACCATGATGGTCGTATAAGCCAAGAAGAATTCAAAGAGGCACTTCATGGTTTGAAGGTATGGTTTGGGAGTTGGAAGGCCAAAAAGGGGATGACATTTGCTGATTCTGATGGCAATGGCACTATCGATAGTGCCAACGAGATGGAGAAGCTCGTGAAGTTTGCACAAAAACATTTACATATGAAAATATATGATCGTTAGTCATGATTGTAATTTGTAAAACCTCTATTTTCTTGCTAAACATATATACTTCAGTGCAAAATATCGTAATTTCTATTTAATGTTGTTGATAGCAACTACAAATCTCTATGTTACAAGTTTTGTTGTATGTGTTATTGATCATCTTTACGACTTTACCTTTCATGTAATTATTTCCTTATTAACGGATTCGTTTGTATATTATACATATATCCTTCCCCATCGAGCATTATATAACCGATCTTCTTCATCTCCTAACCACTAAATTCTACTTCTTCTTCTTCTTCCCCATGACCATCGAAAACAAGTTGTTTCATCTCACAATAACCAAAAAAATAATTTAGTGCTTTCTGCTACTAGTTCCGCATAGTACTCACCATTTCCGCAGAGACTTTCTCTGCAGAACCATTTCTTTGACATGATTTTTTTATCTTTTTCCCCACGTGCCCAATTCCTCAGAGCATTATATAACCGATTTTTTTTCGGTGTATTTTAACATTTTGAAAATATTTATAGAAAAAAAAGATTTAAAATTGGAAAACTATTATTAAAATAATTGTTTTAAGTTTAAATGATTAAAATATGTATAAATATATATTAGTGGAAACCACTTATGAAAAGTGTTAGATATTGTATTCACCTAGGGACCTAAACAAGGTAAATAAATCTATTTTTTAAAAGAAAAATCTTCAGAAAAATCTTAAAATTTTAGGAAAAGTTACAATTTTATCACAACATTTTTCCTTTACAAAAAAACCCAGGGAACCGGATAAATTGAACAATTTGACCCTCTTTTACCAACGATCCTCATTTAGCCGGTTAAAATTATTTGCATAGCAACGAGTTGTTAAGGTGGTTGGTGAATCATTTAATGTCCTTGTATTAAATGTAAATATCGTGGAACACCTCATTCGTGCCCTAGCAGACGACGATTGATGCAGGAGTAGTGGAGAGCCAAGCAAAAACTCTTATTTGTCTTCTTTATCTTCGATGAATCGTCTCATAAATAGGTGCTATTTTGGTGATCCGTAGGAAGATGGACTTCATGGACTCCATTAAACTCAGGAAGAAGGTTTATAGGATGCCCAAATTATCAAAATAAACTCAAAGATTGCAAGTACTTTCGTTAGGTGGATCCCCCTCTAACAAACCAGGTGTGCAAATCTCTTATTAGCATTTCATAACAATGTCAATTTGTAGAACGATGGAATATTGGGGGGGGGGGGGGTGGCCAACAACAACCAGCTTGAAAGTTTTTTGGAGACGTTGTGGAACAACCAATGGCACAACAAGTAGTGTAGGAGGAAGATGGAAATCATTGCTTTATGCATTTGTGGTTTCTTTTGTGTTTTTGTTGGTTATGTTGAAGGATTGGTAAGATAGAAGGTTGTTTTTATGTATTTTAGTTGTATCTGTTTTGGTTATGATTAAGGGATGTTAGCTTACTATGAATGTAGTATTTTGTGTCTCATCTGATTATGAATGAAGTAACTAGTTTATGTATAAACTATAAATGTGTTGATTGTAATCAATGAATGGAATCAATGGATGACTGTAATCAGTTAATAGTGGACTTAATATACAAAGGACTCGATACATAATGAGTCATTAAAGAAAATGAATCAATACATAATCAAATCAATCATGCATGATCGACATCATGCATGACCGGAATCATGCATGATTGGAATCCATATAAGTAAACAATGTACGTACAAGTAATGTATGCATGATTGGAATCCATATAAACTCAATATAAGCAAATATAAACAGTGTAAATTATAGAACATGTAGTAATATTAATCAAAGCCAAAAAAAATTTATGGTTGGTTGTGTAAATGCCCAAAAACTTGATCAAGGGGCCCAAAGCCTATAACTTATATGGTTGTAAACAAAATGGGCTATCAACAAAAGGAGCTATCAACATTTGCCTAAACCTAAAACTTTTATACATGTTTTTAACAAAAGTAGGGATATTTTAGACTAAGGGGGTTGGATGAACTGACCCCCTACTATTCTTGACAACTTCCACCTTTTTCAACTTGATATTTGTTATCCTTTTTTAAGGCTTCCTCCTTTTGACTTGATTCACTTTTCTCCTCTTTGCAGGCCTTATTCCAACCTGATTCAATTGTTGTGTGATAGGTAGTGCTCCCTCACCATCCATCACTTCCTCATGCATCCCTCCATTAACAATCCTTTTCTCATCCATTCCCTCCTCATTAATCCCTTTAGCACCCATCTTCTTTTCATCTATTCCATCCTTAGTCACCATTACCTTATCCATCCCCTACTCATCTATGCCATCCTCCTCATTCATCCTTTCCTCATCTTCAAGTACTTGAGTTGTAAAGAGTTCTTTAACTGTTATTTGGCTAACAATTACAACATCCTATAACAAGCATAACAAAAAGTCTAGTTAGCAAGATATAACATCACAAACTAAACAATGATAAAGTATATATTTGACATATCAACATCCACATCTTCAAATTGTTGTAATTTTGCTTCACTAATTCCAAGAACATCCATGATCTCTTTTGTAGTGTATTTTGATTCCCTTAGGTTGTAAATTGATATCCTTATATCATTGTCAACAGATAGACTAACACCATTTTCACTCTCAACATTTGGAATGACAACATTTTTAGGCTCACATTTCGGAAAATTAGAAGTACCCTCACTATATTATGTTTGGACTATTTTACTAGATCCCCTACCACCACCTTTATTGCATTTTCCACTAGATCCCCTACAACCTTTATTTCTTCCTCCACCACCACTAGATCCTCTTTTAGTTCTTGACCAATTAAGTAATTCAGGTTCCAACCTAGGCCTACCCATTTTTATTAAATGAATTTGAAAACCCTTACTAACATATTTCCAATAGTCTAACACTATCACATTTTTTGAAATGAATTTGAAAACCCTTACTAATAGCATAGTTGGTTAAACATAATTTCAGTTCATGTGGGGATTCATACCTTTCACCAAGCATTGGTCTCATTTTATTCCATTTCACATTTTGGTTGTGGGTGGAATACTCAGCTTCCTCATCACTATCTTCCTCATTACTACCTTCCCGATAATCTTCGTCTGAGTCTTCTTTATTGATTCCAATTTGAGCATCATCTACTGCCTCATCATCGTCTTCTTCACATAGAGTACTGATAAATTTGTCTTTGCATCGTGAAACTTGTTTCTTTTTGAAGTACGCATCCAACTCCACATCTATTTTATCAAAATCATGGATGTCCTCCATGATTTCAACTGCACGGGGGTAAAAACTCTAATTTACTTGGGGGGGGGGGGGGGGGGGAATATGAAATGAGAAAGGTAAATGAGGGTATAAATGAGATCAATTGAACCCATAAGCAACTCCTGGCCACATAAGCAATTTTAACTGGATAAATGAGGGTCGTCAGTAAAAGAGGGTCGAATTGTCCAATTTATTCGGTTTCCTAGGTTTTTTTGTTCCAAAAAAATGTTGGGATAAAAGTGTAACTTTTCCCAAAAGTTTGGAAGTTTTATGAAGATTTCCCTTTTGAAAATATACAATAATTAGAGTACAAGTTATAAAGAAAAAATACAACATATAATTTCGATTTCAAAGCTATTTTTCATGTTTCGATGCCAAGTCTTCATCTACAACGGGCTATAGGTTCTTCTTGTACATGGGGTATTCTGTAATTCCGATATCAATATCATTTGTGAAGGCATCAATCGCTAATTATTATTTCACATATATTTATGGTACATCTTCATCGATAATGGTGTTCAAGTTCTTTTTCTCGTATCTATACAACAATAATTTGTACCTGAAACTAGTTATTACAATATCAGCATATGATTTTATATTAAAACATACTCATCAGGACCATATATTTGTTCTCTACTGTTTTCCAATTCAAAGTTTGTACATATGGTTTTGTTATGACTGGATTGTTAGAAAAATTATTTTAACAAGTTCTAGGTTCTTACAGCTTCAATACCATGCATATCCATCCCGAAAAAGAACATTATACATGTTTATATTTGTATTTCAAAGTTGAATGTTATGGGCTTATGGCATAGGTTATTGGGTCATAAGTACCTAGGTGGCACAACTATTACTCAGTTATTAACTAAAGAGTTGTTGGTAACACATTAACAAATTACCAGGTTCTTGTATTTTGTACCCATTAATAATTTAATTTCGACTTGAGAGCTATTTGTTACAACATATCAATGTGGTTATTGTTCTGTAAGTGGGAAAAAACATGTGGATATGCTAGATACTTCTATTTATGGGTAACTGCAATTCTCCGTAGGTTCAGTTCTGCTTTGTCCTAAAATAGTTTCATTTTTGTTTGTTCTTGTGGATTCATCAATAAACGACTTCTTCAATAGAGTAATAGATGCAAAATGACAAACAAGACAATCAATTTATGTGGTTCACATGATCAGAATGACCAGCTACATCCACGAAAAACACGAGAGAGAGTTTTATTATTTCTATCGTAAAAGTCTTCAGCACAATGCATTACGTTACACAAATTTATGGAATATAAATACTAGTTGTTTGAGCTAAAATTGTCATTAAGACCAAGTGGGACCCTATGTTTGGTCTATGTTATGGCTATAAGATTATCTGGTGAATCGGCCTCCACAACTTAACGATAGTAATTTTCTCTTAGGGTTTGATTGTTTATCTTATGGTTACTTAGGATTAAATAATGGAGTAAGTTTTATTGATTTTACATATGCTGGACTCATTAAGTTCAATGTTTAGGCTAATTAAGTGATGTTCAAATCAATTTGGTACATCAAGAACTTGCTTAATTCTGTTTTGAAAGTATTTAATTTATATTACTTTTATCATGTGTTAAATTGCTACTTGCTATATGCTAATTAATATATTGTCATTCATATTCTAGTTTTTGAATCTATACTTGAGTATTGAATGTCAATTTATATTTGATTCTTGACTACGATAAGACAATTGAAGGTTTTGTTTCAAGAATGTGGCATCTTTTTATGTGACATATGCATATTTTAGTTTGTGACTTTGTATGGATATGAATAATATTTAATGTCACATTTGCAAGTTTTACATCTATCTGGATATTATTTACATAAAAATAATGCATTTCACTTTTATTTTATGAATTTATATTTTATTTAGGTACTTTTTAATTTTATATGGTATAAACATAGGGACATAAGTATGCCTTATTAAGCTTATCCACAACATGGAAAGCCTTTATACCGACCATGACCACGGATCCATGTTGGAAAATTAAGTATAAATATTTATATTTTTACTAACTTTGAACATATATAATTAAATCTAAATGGGTTCGTGTTCTCCTCCGTGAGAACTTCGAAACAATATATTATATGTCCAAAATGAAGTATATGTGAATGAAATATCGATACTCAGCAAATAGATGAATGTGGGAATGAGTACCACATTGGTAGAAAGACCAAACTCAACTAGGTTTACAAGGTTGAATGCATGAAAGCGTTACAAGCTTTTGTCTATGTTTTTACTTCAAGACCTACCCGCGCGCAGGGGGGATGCAAATCTTGGATTTCATAGACCAAAACCACTGAACTTGCCCATGGGCGCAACATGCAGACACGAATGCAGCACCAAAAACTCGGGCTCGTGCAACCATCATTTTTGAATTTAATGCCTCAATCAATTTCGTGCATGTTCAACTATACAAGAAAACCTATGTTGTCTCCTCCTCTGTCTTGGTACATCTGCTTTCAATGATTCTTTCATCTAAGTGGATATACCCGACAATGTATAATGTTAAGGTTGTTGTACCCTGGGAATAGACGGCGAATATGTTTAATAGAATCGAGTCCAACTCAAGCCTTAGCTATTACCTTTACATTATCAGTCTTAAACAAAATTTTCTTTGTTCACAATCTTTAGTTTTATGCTCTTTTTATTCTAAATCGATTGTGTATCCATTTTTTCCTGTAATCAATTTAACTGTGATTGTGATTCTTTCTAAATGACTTAAACTCATGTTGCTGCTCGTACCCCTGTTGCGAACCCAAACGCACCTGTTCCAAACATCATGGCTAATCATGTTGATCGACCTAAAAATAAATTTGGTCTGAACTTCAAGAGGTAGCAGCAGAAGACACTATTCTATTTGACTACTTTGAACTTGGCTCGGTCCTGACATAAATGGCTCCTGTAATTGTTGAAGGGCAGGCTAATGCTCAATCTATGAATGCAGTGGATGTATGGAAGCACTCATAATTTATGTGCCGCAACTATGTGTTAAATGGGATAACTGGTGCACTTTATAATGTCTATTGTACAGTTGCAACTACTAAGGAACAATGGGAGTCTTTGGAAAGGAAGTATAAGACAGAAGATGTTGGTACCAAGAAGCATGTTGTTTCCAAGTTCTTGGAATACAAAATATTTGACTCAAAATCTATTATGAGTCAAGTCCAAGACCCGCAGGTCATTATACATGATAATAATGCAGAAATGATGGATCTTAATGAGTCTTTCCAAGTTACATTAATGGTTGAAAGGGTTCCTCCCGGTTGGTAAGACTTCAAAAACTACCTAAAGCATAAGCGAAAGGAGATGTATATAGAGGAACTGGTAGTGAATCTTCACATTGAATTAGACAATCGAATGGTTTTAAAGAAAGGCAATGAAGTTGAATCTTCTAAGGTTTATATGGTGGAAGCTGGTCAGACTTCCAAGAGCAAAGGCAAGGGATCTCACAAAAGGGAAAGCAAAGGGAAAAAAACTTAGGCCCCAAGGCAGGAACTTTCAAGAAGAAGTTCAAGTGCTATAATTGTGGCCAACCGGGGCACAAGGCTTCGGAGTGCCTGCAACCTTAGCGGGAAAACTGTCAAGAAAACATGGTGAATGATAACATAGAGTTGGTGGACATGATAAATAATCCCACGGCTATGCTCTCTGAGGTGAATCTCAAGAATACAAATTTAAAGGAGTGGTGGATTGACACGGGGGCTACTCGTCATGTGTATCATGATAACACCTACAAGGAAGTTGAAGATGGTGAAAAGCTCTACATGGGAAATGCAGTTATCGCAGATAACAAAGGTGTTGGTGATGTCATTCTAAAAATGACTTCGGGGAAAGATGTGAAACTTAGGGATGTTTTGTATGTTCCTGAACTTCATAAGAATCTAGTGTCGGGTGGTTTGTTGAATCGGTATTAAGCTTGTGTTTGAGTCGGACAAGTTTGTTTTGTCTAAGAATGGTATATTTGTGGGGAAAGGATATGCCTTGAATAGTATTTTCAAATTGAATGTAATGGTGACAAACAAAATGAATAGAGCAAGTTCTACTTCTGATTATTTGCTTGAGTGTTTAAATGTTTGGCATGGTTGCTTAGATCATGTAAATTACAATTCTATTAAACGATTAATTAAACTAGACTACATACCAAAACATAATATTGAATCAAATCACAAATTCCCCACATGTGTTGAAGCAAAAGAAAAAAACTAGATTATCTTTCCAAATAATCAAAAGAAACATTGAACATCTTGATTTAATTCACACTAATGTGTGTCAATTCCCATTCAAGGTGGGAACAAATACTTCATTACATTCATCGATGATAGTACGAAATATTTTTTTTTTACATTTATTTACTTAAGAGTAAAGATGAAGCAATACACAAGTTTGTCTTGTATGAAAATGAAGTTAAGAATTAACTCAACAAAAGAATTAAAGTAGTTAGAAGTGATAGGCGTGGAGAATATTTTTCTTCTTATGTTGAATTATGTGTGAATAATGGAATTTATCATGAATTCACATCACCGTATTCACCCCAATCCAATGGAATTGCTGTAAGAAATATTCGTACCTTGAAAAAAATGTTTAACACCATGATAATTAGTTTAGGTGTAAAACAGACAATGTGGGGGAAGCTATTTTATCGGCTAACTATCTTCTAAACAAGATACCTCGCAAAGAAAAGAATGAAACATCGTATGAACTTTGGATGGGAAGAAAGCCATCGTATAAGTAATTACGAGTGTGGGGGTGCCTAGATAAAGTGGTTGTACCACCGCCTAAGGTACAAAAGTTAGGCCCTAAAACAATGGATTGTGTATTCATTGGGTATGCACAAAGTAGTAGTGCTTATCATTTTCTTGTGCATGATTCTAAGAATCCTGAAATACAAAAGAATACCATAATTGAATCAAGGAATGCTTCATTCTTTGAAGATGTATTTCCTTGTTTAAACAAGGAGGTTGAAAGCC